ACACAAACTGCAGTACAGGCAGGCTGCAGCCTGGACCTCTGCCCACCAAGCCCAAAGTGCTCTTCTGAAATCCCGAGTGACAATGACATAACACAGCCCCAACTCCCCACATGTTCTCTAGCAAGTTTGTTGCTCCCCTTCCCACACATAGGTCTCTGCATCCTCACCCAGAAGCACATCTCAGTGAAGACGTGTTAGACTACAGCAATGATAAAGAAAGCTACAGGCCTTCTCACCTCTCTGGCCCAGCACAACCATAACTGAAGCACTTGGCACAGAAAGCTTTGCTCCAGCTGGCACCCACAACCTTAACAGCAGTATAAATAGGTAAAATGAATAATGATGCCAGACCATAACCTGTGTCAGACTAACATCAAAAAACACTGTACAAGTTCGCAGCAAGAGGCAGTTCTTGTCCTAGTAAACAAATGACAATTTTAATCCCCATGCTTCCCCTAGAAGTAGAAATATTTCTACCTATTGGCCTGGGCCCAAGAGTAGAAACATCTACATTATCAATGAAGGTGGTACAGCAACGCTTTACACAGACCTTTTTCTAACAGAATAGAAATTTACATTTGATGGCATGCAATATTTCTCTTGGTCTAACAAAGTTCTGCCTGATCCAAAACCAGATTCTTTCTTACCCTTTATTAAAGCAATGCTGAATTTTACTAGACAGGATTACAACTGTTATCTTGGAAGGCTACAGAAAAAGGACTTATTTCTCTATTTGTGTAGCTTTTACTATGTATATTTCAGATAAGAACTGTTACATTCTCCTTCAAGACTCTGCAGTTTCAAGGGAGACTAAATGATCCTCAGGAAAACCCAAATGCAACAGTATTATAACATGCAAATAAGTGTAACAATCAGCACCCCAAGCTAGTCCCGAAACAGTAACATATCAATTTAGAAACTAATAGTTAAAATTGCCTAAGCAATCCAGGGACAGCTCAGAGGACTTGATACGTATCAAGTTAGATGTTTCCAATTTCTTCCCACAGTGTTGAGGCGCCACATACACAGATTCAAACATGGGATCCACAAGGCCAAATGCCCCAGGTAGGTGTCTGCGATGACCTCCAAATGGTTTAGAGCCCTAAACCAGTTCCTCGCGGCTTTAAGGACATCTGAATAAAATCAGTATCTCTGGAACATAGAATGGGCTGTCAGAAGGACTTTTCTGAGCCTGCCTCAGGCCGAGGAGGCCCACCCTGATCTGTCACCCTGCAGACGCCTCAGGAGGGCACAGAGGCATGGGCAGGCCAGCCTGTACCTACAAGCAGGATACATAAACGAGTTCAGCTCTTCTATTCCACCAGGGAGACGGTTTAAATCCTAATCTGCGAGTGCTAATTACAGCAAAGCGGTCTGCGATAACCAAACAGCAGAGACCCCCTCCCGCCCTCACCGCAGGCGGCGGGAGGAACCGGCCTGTGCAGCCCCACGCCGCAAGCACGGCTGACCACAGCGGAGCGGGGACACGCGAGGGCAGCCCGTGGGGCAGAGCCCGGCGGCAGGGCCCGCGGTACTCACCGGACATCCTGCGGCCGGCGCGGGCCGCCAGACAGGGGCACAGCCCGCAGCGGCACCACCTCCGTCGGCGCCTCACCTGCTGGCGGCAGGCCCGCTAAGTGGCGCGATGGGATTAGCCGCTTTCCTGCTGAAGACAGTGGTACGTGAACTACATCCGCAGGGGCTCCTGCGCAGCGGCCCACAAACGACATTAGAGGCAGAGACCGCTTGGGAGAGTTGGCACGACCCACCGACCCATCCCGACCCCCAGGCACTGACTTTACCGCAAGGGGCCGTGCCCCTCCCGCCCGCTGCCCCGTGGTGCGCTCCCGCAGCGCCCCGCTTCTGAGGCCCCTGCAACCACCACAGACCCAGCACCTGCTGCTGCTCCGTAACTGACCCCCACCCGGCACCTTCACGGCCCCACGGAAGGATGAGGCATCGCGGCGCCTCCTAGCGGTGAGGCGCGGATGTCTCGCCCCATTGGCTGGTGCGCGGCAGCTCCCACCCCTCCCGCCCTGCGCGGGCGGTGGCTCCCCGGGGTGCTCCCGTCAAGGCGCGGGGTGAGGGGGGGCTTCCTTTCTCTTTACTTTTCCCCTTCCTGTTCTTGTTTTCCCCTTCCCCTTCCTTTCCCCATAGAGAAGCTGGGGGAGACGCTACCGTGCAGCCCTTTGAGGAAAAAAACACCAATGCCGTCAGTGGTGAGAATGGCAGAGAGCGGAAAAAAGATCTCGGAGCATGACTAGGATGAGTCCAGCGTGACCTATGGTAACCCAGACACATGGGGTTCACCCTCAGTTAAGGGAATCTGCCCCTTAGCTTCTTTGGAGCCATCATAAGCCTGAGGCTACATACACAGTCTGGTAACTTGTCACTCAGATAAGTAAACAGATGTTTCCAGACACACTGTTCAGTTCAGAGGGCAATATATATTTTTTCAGAAATAACACACGTAAATGCACAGATACTTGCACAACGTGGTTTTGGGGTAGCCATTACATGTAACTTAGATACACAACCCCTCTGCAAGGTAAGTTCAGGCTAATGTGGTTCAGACAGGATATTTCTGCATCTGTTATGTGGACATCAGTAACTACATAGCAGAGGGCAGTGATGTAAGGCAGTGTGCCACCAAAGAAAAGGCACATACCACTCAACATTTAAACCATTACTTCCAAAAATTTGCCATCACTGTTGCCACTCCAAGGTGTAATATTTATTCTCTCACACACTGGAGGTATCCTAAAGGTCTACTGAAGAAGAAGATGGATGTCATTGCTTTGGTAGTGGCAAGGTGCCTGAGGAAGGAAGGACCTAAATGCATAGGAAATCAAGCTTTACTTATCCCACACACACCAAAAAAAGAAAAAATAAAAATTTGGGGAAGTGTGTTCATCATCTGTTTATATGGACAGGTCAACTAAACTACACTTATGAGTGTGAAGATATCTGTTGTGGATAATTTTACTGTCAGATCTGTTTCGGTTGGGGGGACTTCATAAACACCAAAAGCATTTCCTTGGTAATAAAAGCAAAGTCTACATTTAGAGGATTTTCTGTTTCACTTGTACGCCAGACAACTTGTTATGATATAGAACGGATTTTAAATGTCAGAACCAATAATACAAGCTACAGTTCTTCTGATGGTCTGACAACCAGTTTATATTCCTTCCTTCCCCTCACGATTTAAATGGATTAGAACTTCCCTACATATCCCCCCAATTAGCTGAAATAATAGTAATAGTAATTATTACAATTAATATAAAATTGTTGTTATTATTATCATCATCATCATAGTTAAAAGGGGAATTAACACAGAAAAGTGTGCCTGCACACTTGTATACTGATTGATTGTGTGTTGATGTAATTAGACTAAAGAGCTTCAGAGGTTTAAACCCTTGGGTGGGCAGGATTTACCAACTCATGGTCATGGGGTTTGCTCAAATTCTCCACAATAAAATCTGCCTTTTTGTTAATAATATTAACACAAGTAAGAAATTCCTCTGAAAGTACTGTAAACAAATTTAAATAAGTTATAATATTTCAAAAGCAGAAATGTTGGTAATGCACCCAGATCCTTCTCTGGACACTGCTCCTGTGGGGGGAAAAGAAAATTAAAAAAAAATAATGATTTCAGCTGTTTTCTCTTCCCCCTCCCTTCCCTCTCCCCCTCCAGTCCCCAGTCCCCAGTCCCCCGTCCCCCGTCCCCCGTCCCCAGTTCCTTAATTTGAAGCATTCCTTTCTTTCCCCTATGTAGGAAATAGGTGGATTTGTACGTGAAAGGTATCAGCTGGCATATGTCCAAAAAGTAATGAAACAAACAAAACTCAGATCATTTTAGATAAAACACAGTATGTGTTTATTGAGAATTCTCAAGAGAAAGAAGCAAAATACTTTCATTGTTAAACAACTGATGTGGCAACACTAACTTTTCATTAATCAAAACTTTATGTCCACCCAGCAAAATAGACGTCAATCTGTTTTAACTTTCAACATTCAAAATTAGTACTTTTAAAGAAATATCAAGTGTCCATGAAAACCCCATTAAAAAGATGTTCATTCACAAGTTGAAAGTGATAGCCACAAAGTTCCTCATTTGGTTTTTGTGTTGTCAAAAGGCTTCTGCATTTAAACTGATGTATGTTCGAATTTCTTACCTTCAGGATCAAATTAAGATTATGGTAATATCCTCAGTAACTATTATATATCCATTTCATATATACTTTAAATAAGATGGTATTTGACTTAATGAGAAGAGTACTTTTTCAGATGATGTCTTTCAATAATTTAATAAACACAAAATCATGCTTACCTCCATCTAAATGGAATTTCTGTCAGAAAAAGCATCCTACACATATAAAATGGAGATTTAAACACACAGACTCCTTCCGTGCTTTGAAGAGTTTTCTAAAATGCCTGTATTGCAGAATTACATTGGTGAACAACTAGTTTGGCCAGCTTTCATCTGTATGTCATTCATTTGCTAGTATTTTGAATCAGTTAGTGAAATCAAGGCTCAGAGACTGGAAAAGTGTTAGTTTTTGTTGATAGATTTGTCTACATAAGGACATTTGTTAACATGGCAAGGCTGATCAAGAACAAGGGAAAAAGATGAAACACCCTTGCTGGCAAAACTATCTCAACCATACTTGCATATATGTATGAAGTTTACAAGTTGGTGTGACATAGATTTCATAGAACAAAGTGTCACAGAGTCATTCTAAATGATTCAGAAAACTTTGTACGTATTTCTCTGAATGATATGAATGATATTATGAATGATATGGTTCTTTCTTAAAAAAAAAAAACAAACAAACCATGGCAAATTAATGCTTTTGAAGGCTCTTAGAGCAAGGCCTAAGTTTTCAAGAAGAGAAACAAAATTTACATCAGATTCCAGTTCCTAAGAGAACCTAAACATAATTTCAGTAATAAATAAACTAATATATAAATAAAATCAACAAGTCTTCTTCTCATTTTTTATTTTTAACAGTGGTTTATCAATATACATGTTCTTTTCGTGCAATGTTTTAAAATTAAGAATTAATTTTCCACCTGTAACCCTTTCACTTTGCTAGAATTCAGACATAAACATAGAGGAAATGCACTCAAATTTTTAATCCTTTATACAACTTCCAGTTTTACTTAAACATTATAGAAAATACAGAAATATCATAGAATCAGATGAATGATAAAATGGTTTGGGTTGGAAGGGACCTTAAAGTTCATTTAGTCACAACCCCCTCTCATGGGCAGGGACACCTTCCACTAGACCAGGTTGCTCAAAACCCCATCCAACCTGTTCCTGAACACTTCCAGATAGGGGGTAGAGTTGGCATCTGCATACTAAATATACTAATGAAACCTAACATGTATTAATGGAAATTCCATTTTCCTGATTCCTATTTTATCTGAAGTATTAAGTATTTTGGGTAATTTTAAAAATCAAGGAAAAAAAAAAAAAACACATGTTCAGTGACTCAAATGCTCCCAAACCAAAATATTTCTATTTTTAGCTTATATTAAACTTGATTTCTTTGTTGCTTGAAATAACTTCTGAATGAAAATGCAGGTTGGAGAGCTCAATAGAATCCCTGGATGTTTTAATCATGTCTTTGATGACATAAAGCTCAGGGTGCAAGAGTGACGTCAGATGAAAGGGAGCAGGACTGCAGGGTCTCAACAAAACATTCATTAGAGGAAGGTATCCTTTTGTCAGTATGAGAAAGTAGAAAAACACTGTCAGATCTGTGGGCCGAATGTCACCCATCAAAGGAGACAGTGATCAGAGAGCAGGTCTTCTTCCGGTGATTTAGACTGTAGCCCCACCTGAAAGATTAATATTGAACATTCAATGTGTCCATGATGGATGCTCTTTGCCAGGTTTTTTGGGCTTTATTTGCCTCAGTTCTTGTAAGGCAACAGGCAGGAACCTCATATCTCCAGATATGTATAGACAGCCCTCCCCACTTTTTCTCACTTCCCATTCCCAGAGATACATGGGATTACTGACCTGATGCTTTACTTAAACCACGGCCATTCAGACAAAGGCAAATAAGAAACTGTTGGGACCCTGATGGCACAAACGTCTGTTTGTGATGATGGCCTTCACAGTACTGACCAATCTATCCCAGGGCATTTCAAGCCATGCTCTGACTGGATCCCCCCTTCCCAAGCTTTACCCCCAGCACCTAGAAAGCAGTGGCTACACAGAGACCACAATGGCATCTCCAGGCTCAGTCTTTCTGAATCACCAGGGGATCCCATATCTCTCAGAAATGCCTGTGAAGCTGCACACACCTCCTGTGCCTCACTCATGTCATAGTTGTTAGCCTCATTATAGAACAAATAAGGTGAATTAAAGGTTTGAATTGACCTCTATGGCAAGGGCAGGATGCCCACCCAGGCCAAAGCTAAAATGGGGGCCCCAGGCAGAAGGTACATGGGGTGCCCCAGGTGAGGCACACACAAATAGTCAGTCACCTCTGTGGTGGCAGATACTTCACATCATGTAATTTTCTTCATAAAGAGACTTACATCCAATTTCTGACCACATTATATGGCTTCCTATACTTGTCATTGATGAAGAACATTAAAATTACCACTCTCTCTTACCACAGAGGGTTTTTAGGATGAGATTTTCAAATGACCTCGGCCCTGAGCTGTTTCTGCCCCCACTGAAATTGTCTGTAAAATTCACATCTACCCCATCGCTAAATCATCATGGAAAGTGGGAAACTGATTTGGTCTTACCCTGTGGTTTGAAACAAAGTTTCTTGTTCTTGTAAGCAGAGTAGGCTGCTATGGATCCAACAACCAGTATTACAAAAGCAGAAATTATAGGAGATGTAACTCCAGCTATTAATCCTGAATCTGTAGAAAAAGAGAAGAGTTCTTTTTCAGAGGCACCAAAATGGTTTCACTTAAGTGTATTCTCTACTAAGGTGTGCTTTTGCCAAACTACGAGAATTGTTTGGTGAAACAGAAATTCATTAAATAGAATTAAGCAGAATATTAGAAATAATGTTACATTACAGATGGTGTGAAAAAAGTGTCTTAAAGCCTAATGTGTATGTATTACTTTTATAAGACTAACATTTTATGATGATATAAAAAAATTAAAGAATACATTATTTACTATACCTGTGTTTCCTCCATGATTGAAATTGTGCTCCTCTTCTCCTGGAATAGAGGGTGAAGTTTCATCAAGAAATGTGTTTTATCTTGTTTTGACAGCAAAGTCTTTACTCAGTGAAGCGTGATTTCATACAGGAGGTGAAAGGGGGCAGCTCGGCAGGACTTTGAGACAGGAGCTCCCTTTGCAGTCCTGACTGCAGCTGCGCTGGCTGCAGGAATAACCATCCATCCCCATGACACTTAATTTTTGGAGAATATTATCCTCTAAAAACAGGATAATACTTAGCAGCCTACAGCAAGCTGATTTCACAGGCTGATTTAGTATAAGATCATAGGCACAGTTCATCTGCTTGCAGTTCTCAGCAGAAGACCCTTGCTTGGGGACTGTCTTAGCTGAATTCAAAGGGATAAATCCTGCAAGGTTCTGGCATATGCCAGAAGGCTACAAAATGTTTAGGAATATAAGCTAGAGTTCAGACTCAAAGTCATGGCTTGTGGAGAAGGACAACCAGTCTAAATAAAAACAGCAGAGTCTTGTCCTACACCTTCAGTGACAAACAGATTACTGCTAAAGCAAAAGCAGCCAGTTCTGAGTTACAAGTATTAGGGAGAAGCTGCAAGAAGAATTAGCAAATACTACCTGTTATGTGTGGCGGTAAAGGCTTCCCATCGAGGAGATCTGAGTCATCAAAACCTCCTGCAAGATAGAGATTAGGTTTTCTATTGCAAAATGTCTGAAATCTGGTAACCCCTTCTGCCCCCTTGTCTGGTCCTTTTGCAGTGTTCTGGGGACAGCTGAGGCACTTTTGAAATTCCAGCTTTGATATGATGGGTGGATCGGGGTCTTCCACTGAATGGTCACCTATTCAAATTCACCTGAACGCTGGAGTACTAAAACTGTTGCTGCTCTGCCTTTCTGGGTCTGTATTGGCACCTGTGGGATGTGTGGGCTTGGGCTGTCAGAGGCATAAATCCTTGTACAATAGGGGCATCTCAGATCTCAGCAGTTCCTGGAGCAGGAAGCCAGTGGGTCCTTTCCAGGGAGACCTGCATAAGGACTCCAGAAGGGCCTGCCCATGATTCACAACTACAGTCATACCAGAAGTAATTATGGGATACATGGTGGTAGCTGGGATAGATCTGCCAATTCCACTTCAATTAAGTGTGTCTGGGACCACACTTGAAAGCAATACAGGCTTACATCCACCTCCCCAGTGCTGGGGCCATCTCAGATGCATATCTCAGTATAGATTTGAACATAGGCTTACCCATGCCACATGGCTAGATGTCAAATTTGAACCTTAGCGTGGTTCAGTGTAGACATATCCAAACCAAAAAGGCAAGCAAGATGAGTGTTAGCCTTGTGCCACTTAGGAGTCAGTGTCCCACATTTTGGGCAGACCACTAAAGCTTTCTGGTACCAACACTAAAATTCAAGAAAACTTTCCAAACACTGTTTCAGGAACAGTGACAACAAAAGGCAGATGGAGGGAAGGAGTGGTAAAAATTATTAATGAAGAAATAAGAAAGTAAACTATTCAAAATATTTACTCAGAATAGCTCATTGTGCTAGGTTTTCTTAGGAGAAAATATTCTTACCAGAAATACCATGGCTTCCTGGTCGTGGTGGAAGAGGTGGGTATAAAGGTTTCCTTGAGATGTCACCTATTGATAATAAATATTGTTAGATGGTTGGAGAGGCAAAACAGAAAGCTGTAAATAAAGATCATGATAACCTGAGATTTTATGCCTATTTTTAATTTGTCCTCCTGTGAATTAGCCAAAGGGTCTTGAAACCAGTTAAGAAGTCTCAAGCAATATATCAACAAATAGCTGGCTACTAAAACTGGTTAGAAGGTGAAAACAGAACATTTGCAAAATTAAAATGACACAAGAATTCACAAAACTATTGAAGGAGAGTATTTCCCGTATTTCTGGTAAGTGCTAGCATTGTTTAATGCTGACATCTGGGAAGCACAGTGTGTTATTGTAGGTGTCAGGGGTGCAGTTAGCAGAGCTGACAGAGAAGCTTGTGCTCCAAGCTGGGCAGGAGATAACAGTTATCTCTGTATCAGCAGGTATCAATAAGATCTGCAGATTAGTTTCATTTAACAGATGCTGAATTTATCTAGTGCATGATGAATTTTCTACTCTTGAACAGTGCAAAATGAACTCAGACTTGAGCTTTGTTGTTTAGGACTTTGTGTCAGTATTTGGCCTTAATTTTTACAAAAGGTATTATAAAGAGATGCATCGGATAGAGAGGGAGATCTGATAACTAAGAGCAGTTTCCAGACTGGACTAACAGTGATGGTGTAGCAAGAGCTGGCTCAGGTCTAAACCTGACAAAGTTAACATCCAGGGCTGTTACTCTGTGTATCTGTATTGGGTCCCTTTTTGCTGTCCTTTCCCCAACCAGTTCAGTCGCACATTAAACTGTTCTCAGATCCAGACAGTGAATTTAGCTGTGAATAAATTAAAATTAGGTCACAGAAATAAATACTAGTTTCCCTTCCTCTCCTTGAATCTTTCTTTCTCCTTCAATACATGCCACATGCCCTTTTATCATGTTTTCTTCTTGCCCAGCTGCCAAATGCAATGCTTCTGTCTGGGAGTAGATTCAGCAAATTATTTAGATTCTGATTCAGTAAATTATTTAGATATATGCTTAACTTCGTGTGAGTTCATCCTGCTGCAGTCATTAGATTTTAGATAGAGTCTTAAAGCTTTGCTGAATCAAGCTATGCCCAATTAACTATATTCAAAAGAAGAAGAGACTTGTTCTCTTCCAGGTCTCTGTGTAACAAACTAAGTCTCACCAGTGCACAAAAGCAGAAAACTACTGATCCCATTAGTCATTTTTTTTTATGGTGCTGAAGCACTTATTCAGTCTTCTCTAATCATAAGAAGATATATTTTATATCTGATATTTTATATCAGAACTATTGATAGTGAGGTAGATGTCATTAATCCCATTGTACTCTGTATGAATATCAATTAAGAAGCTGAACTGAAAATGGAGCAAAGAAATAGAAATAAAGGAAAATATCAATTGCCAGTCTCTGAATTAAAAGGTGGCTTTTAGTGAAGATAGTGAAGATACTGAAGATATTCATTAATAATTGAATCAACACCCACCCTCTTATAACAGCACTCACTAAAAACTTTCAGGAATGGAACAATTAGTACAGGCAGAAAGAAATGATAATATAAACATAGGAATTATAAAGAAAATTAGATTCAGCTTTATGGAGTGCAGGGTAATATGTCATTCACAGATATGAAAAGCCCCAGGAGAACCTGGAAATGTGAAAACCATGGAAATGGGAAAGAATAGTGTAAATAATATGATTCTCTAAGACTGAAACATGAGTAAACCAAGCCACTGCAACTGGAATCATAGTTCAGAGGATCTGTTCTGAGAAGTAATTATTTTTGGTAGCCTTGATTCAAGTGGAATTTTACACTTTGATTCAATGCTACTTGCATTTTAGATAATTTCTCAATGTACCAGAAACTTCAATGTACCAGAGTACTTCAGATCCCTGGTATATCTCTAAACATGCCATGCAAAACGTTGTACAAAAATTCCCCAAGTCAAGGATTTCCCATACCTACACAGCTCAACACAGCACCATGAATTCTTCCTATATCACGTCTGGATGTTATAGAAACACTTGGAAGTTGTAGCATGTTACAACAGCTTGAGTGCTTCAAGCTTTAGCTATATTGTGCCATCAGCGCTCATCTCTAATACATTCCTTCCTGCATTTCTGATTTGTGATCAGCAGAGCTGCAACAAGCTCATGCCTCTCTCTATCCAGTTACCTCTGATTGCTGACCTTAGACTCATTTTTGGCAGCTGAAGAAATGACTGCCATAACCTGTTTTCTTCAACCTGCTGTCAGAGGCCACCACCCTGAATGGTGCCTTACAGATGAGTGGGCAACACATGCCCAGCCATGGCTGTGGCAGCCTGGCATGGTAAAGTAAACCAGAGCTGACTTCAGCGCACACAGGTAGCCAGCCTGCAAGGTCCCATTGCTAGCAACCGAACACAGCCCACCCTGCTGGCCGCACTCTGTGATGGCCTCTGCCAAAAGGGCCTGCACGTACAGGGAGTTGTAATGACTCCCACTACCACAGTTCTGCCTCCAATCACTAAATTTCTTTTCACAAATTAGGCAGACTTCTGAAAAAGACTATAGAAAAAAGCCTTCATTATATTGAAAAAAGAAGACAACACTCACCCCCACCAAGAGCATCTCCTAAGTGCAGATCGTTGTCTAAAAATGGAAAGGAGGAAGATGTAGAGAAGTGCGTTACACACCATTCTCGAGGGAAGTGAAATGTTAGTTTTAATAGAAAATGTACAACTGAATGAAAAGCAACTTTTTCAGGTCAGACCCACAAATGAAAATAAGGCATTACACTTTTCTTGAAAACTCTTATAGAATTTAGTATTTGTCCACACAGTATGAAACAATATTTTCTACTCAAAATACAAAAGCTTTTGCCTGCTTTAAATAAGCTCAGAATAAACATCATAATGGAAATAAGATCAATACCTCTTTAATACATCTGCAAATACATAAATGAAATTAGCCATGTTAAAATATTAAAATATATCTTTTTTAAATATACTTAAGTATTAACAATGTTGTCTGTTGTTGAAATTTGTGTATGCATGTTTGGCTTAAGTCTATTTTGTTGAACTGCAAAAACTGACTACTCATTTCAGAACAAACACTGGGAAGTAATAAACCTATCTGGGGAGCGAGATTGAATCAGCTAATTTTTGTAAGGGTCACGGTGACATAAAAAGTTTTTCTTCAAGCAATCTTATGTGCCAGTTTGAGGCTGGGAGACTGCTTTTCTTTGGCAGAGCTATAAAGGTTTTCACATACACTTCGATGTTTACATGTGCATGTTACTCAGTGAACAAACAGACTATGACTATTCCCCCAGCACTGTACATGTGCTCCACTGTACCTGGGATGGAACTTCCATTCAGTAAACAGTTTGTTTATGAGCTGCAGATGTGTAAACAAGAGGAACTCAATTTCAGCATGCTGGTGTGGGTATGACTATGTGGGTGACACGGTAGGGTGTGTATGGAATGACGGTGAGCTCTGAAAGGTCACTGAGTGATAGGCAGAAATATGTTAGATGAATGTCATAACTCCAAGAATCCCTTTCCTTCTCATTATAAATGTGGAGTGGTAGAATGAATCAGAAGAAAAGAGATGGCAAAATCTACCTAAATTTTTATACCGATGCTTGTTGCCACAGAAAATTGAACAGACACTCAACTGGGGTTTTCTTCCATTATAATTGTGCCAGAGCTCCCAAAACCCAGTAAAATCCATCCAATACAACACCGAGCAGAACTCTGCCTTCTTGTGCTCTTTATATCCAGAGGAGTGGGAAGCTGATTTTGAACAGTATCTAGTCTCAGTTATGCAACAACTTCTAAATGTTTTGATGTCACCAGGAAATCTGGCAGGAAAACAATCGAATTCATACTACATGACTGGGTTTGTTCTTGTCAGGTATTGCTCCTGTCTGTGTGTGGCCAGCAGAAAGTTGCATTTCAATAATACCTTTACCTGTCAGATGCTACAAATAAGAAGTAATAAACTGCAAACTGGGTTCAATTTATTGTCAAGATGAAGAAGTTAGATAAAATGTAGGGTTCTGCTCTGGAAGGTTCATGCAGAGATTCGTTTCAGGTATTGTCAGGCTGCTATGAAATACAAATAGAAATGCACACGTCTGTAAGGACCAGAAAAACAGTTGAGCAAAGGGTTAAAAAAACAGAAAATAAAGGTCACCATTCCCAGTTGTAAAATTGAGGAATGTGTCATGTCTGTCAAAACCACCAGGCCTGTGCTCGATGACAGCACAGATGACTTGTCATCAGAGGAAAAGCAGAAGGGCACTCTAAAGCCAAAGGTAGCAGCATATCACCTATTCCACTACCTCTCCTTTTCACACACCCACAATATAGATATAGTCTGTGTACCCCAAATAAGCAAAAAACAGATAGCAGGCAGCAGCCTGGCCTAGGGTTCAGAGTGCTGAAGTAAACAAGATTATGAAGCAAATGACCTCTAGTTGGTGACTCTTAAGAGGTGTAAAAGATCTGTACATAAATCAGCCTGTGATTTCTTATAAGGAATAACCACAGAGATGGCATAAGTATTTAGTAGCTAGCATGTTACACACGACACTCAACAGACCACCTAAGCACACACATCTTGGCGCTCATGCGTATGTGGGTTTGAGCATATGGCTGAATTAAATCAATGGCAGCAAGAATGTAAGTGGGTAAACCCAGCTTTTTTAGAGATTTTGTAAATAAACATCACCTTCTATTAAATTTTGTGTTGAATGTTGTTACACTAGATGGGAAGTGCCCATACGAGATATATTCATCTCAAGCAGAGGTGTGTGGGAAGTCATGCCTGGAGGACACAGCCTCTACAGTAAATTGCTTCAGCTGAGCCAAAATCATCATCTCAGCCTCATTTCTCAATGATACTGGCTGAATGAGACATAGAGGAAACCCTGAGGTTAAGAAGCAGCATTAGGCAGATACTAAGACATACTTTTGTATTATATTTCTGGACTTTCCAAATCTAGTAATTGATTTTTAACACTTTTTTTTTTAATAGTTTTAATTGTTTTCACACTCCCTGTAATCCTCTTCAGTGCTGAAAGAGATCCTGACATGGTCTGGAAAACATGGAGTTCTTCATTCCCAAGTATCAGTGAAGTTGACTCAGGTAGGTAATCATCTCATAGTCATACCTCTAACAGATTTTAAAGTCCCTAAAAGTCAAATTCCTTTCACCTGACTGTGGCAGCTTCACTGTAGATACTGGCATCTCTAGCTTGTCTTCAAACACAACTGAGGACAGTCTTTTAGGGCACAATTCAAGTAACCTACTTGAAATATCTATAGTAGGATAAGAACAAATCCACATTTAGAGTGATAAGACCATCCCTACACATGCTGATTTCTCTCCACTGACTTTGAAGGAAGTCAGCACAGGGCAGTGGCTTATCAGTATTTTACAACAGACACTTCTAACCTAGGCCAAACACAGATTTCCTTTGAAAAACTAAGTGGGAAGGAAAAATGCAACCTTCACAGGATTTAGCAGCTGCCACATTCACAAAAAGCTGCCCCTGTTTATTCAAAGAGTGAGCCAGAGAATCATGTGGGAATGTAACTGCTTTCATGTACCTGAAGACTTACTGCAACTTTCATCCAGAAAAAGACTGACATTGTGTGTGCTAAAGTTATCCTGCATCTCCCAATTCAGGCATTTTGTTTGATTGCCAGAAATTCTTTCAATATAATTTAGCTGAAAAATCTCTGTGTTATCATTAAATTCCATCATAAGTGGATGTGTGGTTTTCTTCTGGTCTGGAGTTTGTTGTTTGGGGTTTTTTTAACAATAATGAAGTTAATTGAAAATCATCATTCTCAGGACTGCAGCTAAAACCTTTTGGTTCTCTCCACTGTTCAGAACCTTTTTCCCTTTCTGACACAGGTCTTTGTAGTAATAAATACTAGGTAATATTAAGCAAATAAATGGGGAGAAGAAAGAATATCCAGATACCTTCTGATTCTTTTTCAAGTCCATTATCAAGCACATGAATATTTATGCTAAAAGAAAAGACAATGGAGAAAAGAGTGGGAGAGCAGTTACCCATGTTTGGCAACAGTTGCCCAGGGAGTTCAGTACAGTAGGCTGGAAAAGTATGAAGATCTTCAGGAAATAAAATGCCATCACTGGCCAGTTATTCTCTAAAGACTTACTGGAAGCAGCATGTCCTTCCTTACTGGAAGAGATGTAATTGGTAATTGTCAAAATAACCCTCTTACTTTACATATAGAAGACAGTTTGTATTCACAAATGATCTCAGCTATGGCACTTTAGCAGATATGATCAAGAATCTCATGGGAGACAGTTTCTACCTATCTAAAATAAGTTATGATCAGTTATGTCTTCATTACTTACTCAGCACAGGCCTTGTCGGTCTTCTGATCACTGTAGGCCTCCTGGTAATTATGTCATCTGTGGGACACAATGATAGACCAATAAACAATAACAGCTTAATCTTTTTCAACTTCACAAAAGAAGGTATCTGAAAATCTAGACAGCTTCATTCATTAAACTTTTATGTATCACAGCAGAAGCCAAAATTTAAGGGATATGTTTTCAAAGCCTTTCTTGTTTATTTTAAAGAAATTTTCAATTTTATGAAACATTGAACTCTAGCATTTCCCAGTTCTTTGTATCTTTAACTTCAGTAGTAGCTACTTCATACTCCAGTCTTCAAGGAAAATGACTTAAGTTATATTATTCGGTCTAAATGCCATAGTAAAATAAGAATAGGAGTTTTACCTACCTGGGTGATCAAGAGCATCAGCTAAATCAAAATCACGTTGACCTAGGAGGAAAGTGACAGAAGGAAGGATACTAAGTCAGAGGGCAGTTTCCATGACCTTCAGGTCTGAGGGCTCTGGCCAAAGCCAGAACACCAGTAAGAAACAAAAGAAAAACCCATCCAAACAGGCACAGACACAGAGCAAGACATCAGTTGTCCCAGCACCATGTAGTCCTGAATGACCATGAGAAATGGGCTGATCTAATGCAAAGAAGCTACTTGTTTAGATAGTGCAAAGAGATTCTGTTCTCTCCTGTTATCCATATTCAGTGGCTGTGCAAGCATGCCTGTGAAGAACACAGGTTGCCTATTACAGGGCACAGGGTCACAAGTCTATTGCTGGGAGACTGCTGAAAGTAGCATTCAGCACAGTACTTGCAAATGGGAATCATTAGGTGAGAATTTTTAATGTCTTCATTATTGTTTTACTAGCTCAGCTTCACTGGCAAGTCTGCCTTGTGATCACTTGTAACATGAATCAACTCTTTCTTATAACTCTTCCTGTAACATGTGCCAGCAAGTAAAAGCTATAAAGATGTATTTACCTAATTTATTTTCTACTGTACCTTAAAAAACCTGAAAGTGGAGAAAAGAGCCCTTCCTGTCCTGTGTTAGGTGACAATGATGTCACTAAATGTCACAGCAGGGTAATTAGCATCCTGACATTTGAAGTTAGCAGGCAAATGAAACCTGAAAATATTCAAAACGTATAAACTAAAGTATATGATTTTGAAATAAACTAACACAGCTATTCATGTGAGTTTTACTTTCCACTCTCTACAATCTGCCACTTTCCCTTTAATAACCAGCCTTCCTGAAACGCCTCTTTGCAGAGCACATACCCAATAGTTTTCATCCAGGCTGAAATTTCACCATCCTCGTGTTTGTACACCAAATACAAGATTAGCCTGTACAAACCCACAGAAAGTCACAGTGTGCTATGGCTTCCCTAAGCAGAAATGTTTTACTGTGCTCTATCGAGTAAGCCTCTTGATCAGGGTCTGTTTATTATCCCATCTAAGTGGCTTAATACCTAATTCTTCAATAAAGTGTTTTTCTTGGTAAGGCTTGAACACTTCACAGCAAGGGTTACAGAATGGTTTGGGTTGGAAGGGACCTTAAAGGTCATCTGGTTCCAGCCCCCAAGAAAGGCATCATTGTTCAAGAAGGGAAACTGAGGAACAGAGGGAGGCTGTCAGAGGTTCTCCAGCAAAACTCTGGGTTCAGCTCAGCCCTCTCTTCCTGACAGGTGCTGTCTGTCTTCATGGCATTCTTCACACTAATCACTGTTCCTGATTAATAGCTCTCACCTGTGTCAGAGAGCTCCTGGGAAGATTAATTGTCAGTGGCGAAACACTGTGTCAGCCTCAAATAACAATCAGTGCAGGAGCATAAAGTAGGAATGTCTTGATTCCTGTGGGGATTTTCATGTAAGTCTGTGAACTTAATTACAGCTGGTGTCTTACAGAAAGGCTAAAACAAGGCTGGAATGCAGAATAGTGAATGATTTTTAAAGCAAAACTGTCCCTATAAAATATTATGAAAAACCTCTGTTTGGAAAGGAAAAGCAGATAACAACATAAGGCTTTCCCTGTAATGTTATCAGTGTAGCATTTCATCTCTTATACATTTGAACTGATCTTAGAGTGCCAGCTCGTCCAACAACCTCTCCTTCCCCTGCCCTGGCTGCTCAGCCAACCTTGCCAAGTCCAGTAACCTTTGGAGTGGGTCCTTAGCTGGGTTGCTAGTTTGATCTATATTCCCCTGCGCGCAGGATGACATCATGGCATTGCCTGTACTAATCTGATCAAATTATATTTCTCTGAAGCATTTTTTTCAGTGCCAGCAACACGAGAAGTTTGACTGTCCTTTGGGTTTGTCCTCTGGATAAATCTTCATTCTTGACAGGCATCCCAAGCACTGACAGAGGCTATCTGACCTGAGCCCTGCTGCTGTAGGGCACCGCCGGCAGGGCTCAAACCGTTGCTCATCAGAGTGAGTCGTGAGAAATCATTCTGTAACACTAAAGAGCTGTTGGCCAGACCAGCTCCTCTGTGGCAGGTCCTGACATGCAGGAAGTAACAATATGGAAAGCAGCTACAGAGGTCCTAGAGCTGTAAAGAGAATGTGACAAGTTTGTCTTGTGAAGGAAGACTCTGGAAAAATTCCAGGTAAAATATTTCTTTGAAGTTAGGGAAAAGAAAAAATAAATAAATAGGAGGTACCTCATCAAAAGATATTATGGAATTCAAGCAAGATGATGCAGATGCTCCCAATTATATGAGAACCAAAGCAAAACAGCAGACTGAAACAGTTACTAATATCTGCCCTTCTGTATGATACCAACATTTCCCTCTCCTATTGTGTGTCATGTCTGCTCTGTTATCAAACAGGTGTGAAAAGACAAGAGGTGGTGTTTTAAGCCTGCAAAGGAGAAACAGAAGACAACTACAGGATTTTTAAGAACAGAAAAAAAAGCCTGAAAATCTGCAGGAATTATTCAGATTGGTTTGGGTATTTTTTTAACTGTATCTGATGATACACCAAGTAATAAAACCCCCCAGACACCAGCACAGAATGACTGACTGGGAGTAAGACAGGAATCTACATTGAAATCTCTTTAACTGTGTAAATATAAACCTTGACAGATGGGCAAATTGTATGTTGACATCTGTGCACCATGGTAAATGATATTCCAATAAACCAAAAGATTCCTTGGACTTCCCTCCCAGCTTCTTCTGGTAATAATGTCAAACAACCACAAGGAGTAGGATCTTGTGGAGCTGAATTTTAAATGCTCATTACCATTCTGAGACTGCACCTAGACATTTAAAGAATGTAATCTGGGAGGATAACAGATGGTTAAATAGCTGAACAGCCCAGATTTCATCCACAAAATGGTGGGTCTACAAACAAAAACACATTTAGAGGCTCAGACAATATTTAGCTCAATAGGAACTGGATACTTCAGGGAACTGTGAAGATGAATGACAATGGAAATAAATCAGTCAAGCTGTTTCACAGAACAAACAGACTGAAAGAAATTAATTTTCCACAAACAAAAATGCCCTTTTTTTCCTTGGATGAGCTTCCATAATAGAAACAGCTGGAAACTTATGAAAATGAGAATGAGAGGAATTTCAGTGGGGAGAAAACAGCTTTGTTCCTTTGGGGGTTTTATTTGATTGGGTTTTTTTTGTGTGCAGTTTTTATTGGTTTGTGTGTGTGTAGTCTTGGTTGGTTGGGGTTTATTGTTGTTTTGGGTTTGGGGTTTCTTTTATTTGGTTTGGGTTTTTTTAACCTGGATAAAGTTATTAAGAGGTTTAGCTGTGCAGGAGGCATTATCTCAGTTATCTGCACCATTGCTGCTTTGGACTGGTTTGCTATTTCTTGGCATCATTTCCAGCCTTTCTTCTGGGAGTATCCCTGTTTGTACAAAGAAATGGAACTATTGCAGTGGTGGTTTTTCTTGGGTGGTCCACCATAATTCACAGCAGAGAATCTGAGAAATGTTTATATGCTCCTGCCTGACACCACAGAGCAGTCCTTATCTACAAATAAGAAAGTACTAAGCTAAGAAAGCAAGCCTTCCAGATGAATACAGTTTGTATTGCAAAAGGACCCGTTTTAATCATGTTTATACTAGCTGCTCAAACACAAGGAACTAAACTGCCAGCAGGATTTCTGCTGGCACTGCCAGCCTTATTTGGGATGTAATTCCCTCATCCCCACCCAACCCATGCAGCTGCGCAGTAAAAAACTGTGTAGTAGACCTGGCCTACATAGCTAACAGTAGACTCTCTGTAGCAGCCAGGCAGGGGAAAATAGACTCCATAAAGCCAAACATCAAAACATGGTAGTTTAAAAGTCAAAGTTGCTAGATTTCTTTTTACAAGCATGATTTTTCCAGGTAGGACATTTGCTTTCTATAAGCCTTTATAACACCATGTGTGGAAAGCCAGTGACATAAAATCCTTGTCAGTCTAATTGTTCTACTATGGAGACTATTATGGTTGCTCTTTGTTGCAGAGATACTAAGCCAGCTTTTAATAAGTTTCCTTGAATATGAGACACATCCTCCTGAAACATCATGGAAGTGAGGTTGTCCCACCCCGCCAAAGCAGCACCCTACAAAGTCATTTCCTCAGGCACGTGTGCATTTAATGTCCACAAACTTTTCATAACGTTAGGTTTCTGAAAACATGTCCCACATATCCAGTCACTAACATGCATACAGCAGCATCTTTGTCTATGGTTTAATTTGTGACCTAAATGTTAAATAGATCCATCCCCCTTTACCAGTGTAGCTGACTGATCACAAGGGACTGAGGTCCCACAGTTTTTAAGGAGTATTTCTGAGGAAGAAGTCTAGAATCTGCAGGTGGATGTCACTTATTCATCATTACAAATGTAGTCAAAAGTTTTCTGATGAAAGGCTACTGTGGCAACACTCTGCAATTTTATAATCTCCATGAGTAGTCTCAGTCCTGCACCGGATAAATATGAACACAGTTTGTGGCCATTAAAATGACCCACATTTAAATAAGGCATCATGAACATTGCTAAATACGAGTCAGCTTATGAGACAAATTAAATTAACTTCTGATGCATTTAATGTGCATAGTCTGGTATTAAAAATGAAAAGAAGATCCATGAGAAAATGTGTTTCTATGTGTATATACATGTGTGGACATACATCTTAAATGTATATATGCACATGTGTGCTAGATACATCTTTTTTTTCATTAATATGATTAAATTATGGGCTTTGAGGGCATTAAGACTACCTGTGTTACAAATAAATTAGAAACAACTAACGCAGGAAAGGGAAAATAAGTTGATTTTACATTATTTAAAAACCAGACCAAAAATATTCCTTCAGTGTGATTAAATATGAATTGCTTTGTGAATACAATGAGCTTAAAACATTATGAAGCTGGCAGAGACTGAGGAAGAATTGAGTGACTCACAAATGAGAACAAAAATTTTCTGAAAAGGAACAA